GACAGAACAATGCCCTCCCCCACCCCCACCAGACGTCCATGTCCCAATACCCAGAACCTGTGAATATTTTACTTTATACGGTGAAAGAGATTTTGCACAAGTGATTAAGACCCCTTTTTTAAATTTCTTATGTATGTTTATTGGTTATGGTTTATAATACTCTGAAAATAATACCTGACTTGAAACATAGGTATGAAGTTAGTAAAGTTGGGAAAATATTAACCACTCAATTAATGGAAGGTGTTACCATTATTTGCTTATACTCCTTGGATGGCAATTTGCAAAAGTCTTGTAACAATATTAAATATTGAGACTTTTTTCATCCTTTTTCCAGGACTTAATCCATGCTTAAGATAAAGCAATGACCTTTAAAATAATTTTAACACATTATTAATGATGATACATTTACATATCCAAATATCCTCTTGTAGGAGAGTTATTTTTTTCTATATCAGACTTCTGAATTGAAGTTCCAAGGTCTTGAAGTTAGAATTTAAAATAAAATCAAGATGGTTTTGCTCCTCCCAAAAATCACAAAACTGTTCAAGTAACTATTTTAGATAATGGCTCATTTTAACACCTGCCTGTCCTCTTGACTATATCCTTGTAGTAAACATTATCTACCATACTCATTCCACATTTTTTTTCAAATCCCACCCCATTTCTGCCATTTTCTCAATTTGCAGAGTCAGATTATGCTGTGAGGTCATGTGTTTGGAACAAAACAAAAAGCTGCTGCATTTAACGCATGTGTGCACCATTTCCCACACCCTGAAGTCTTTCATACTTACTTGAAATAATCATATATGTTAGTGTAAATAGCAGATTTTAAAAGAGATTAGGCTCTTGCTTTGTGAAGGTTTAAATGGTTAATCTGAAATTTTTTTTTTCTTTTTAGATTTTTATTGGGGAATTGGGGGATGGGAACAGCGCTGAGGAATTGGGGGAAGGGGAACAGACAAGTTGCTGTCGTTTTGTTCTTCAGTCTAGTTGTGGAGGACGTTGCTTCACTGGTCCAAGCTGGCAGTCACCATCATTGTGCTCTTCCCCGGGCGAGGCAGATCAGTTGCCAGCTTCTGGACGGCCGCTCACTGCGGCTGTTGGCCACTCACGCTGGCTGCTGGCTACACACTGCAGCAAGGGCTGCAGCCTACGCTGTTTCCTGCGGCAACTCACGGCAGCCCAGCTCCAGGTTGAGCTGTTGTCCAGCATCTTAGCTGTGGAGGGCAGTGTCACTGGCCCTCATATGTGGGATCCGAACCGGGGCCCTCTGGCATCCCAAGCCAGTTCTTAACCATCGCGCCACTCGGCCGGCCCTAATCTGAATTTTTAAAATGGCATTTCAAAGGTAAATCACTGATTTAAACTTAGTTAAATTAGAAATGAACAGATGTCATTACCCTCTGAAAGTTCAGTGGTGATATTGATCCAGTTCCTAGTGTCTTCATGAACTGGTGCCCAGCCTCAAAAATTGCATGTAATTTAGGGGGCCGGCCGAGTGGCTCAGTTGGTTAAGAGCTCACTCAAGAGTTTGAGCTCTGAGCAACAGCGGTTCGAGTCCAGCCCGAGCTGAGCAGCCACTGAGCTGCCAACAGGTAGCAGGATGGCTCAGCTAAAAAAAAAAAAAATTGCATGTAATTTAGCACTGCTGGTGGGAGCTTTCCCTGAGAGATCATGTAAATGGTCCTAGGGATCTAGTTCTAGAGAACCATCCTAACTCAGGGATGAAGTGCAGCTGAAAACTTTTCTTGTAACCTTTTGGTAATTTTATAATACATAACCTTGTCAATGCAATCCAGTTAGGTGAAATAAACACTTCTGTACAATAGCATACAAAATACACAGATATTAATGAATGTCAGGAAGTACTATTCAGAGGACGTTGACACACAGGCTCACCTCAGTTTTTTTGTTTGGTTTTTAGGATGCTATAGCCTTTGATTGGTAGTAGATAACTAACTGCTTTGCTCTTGCTGCTTCTAAGATTCTTTCTTTGTCTTTAATCTTTGGTATTTTAATCATGATGCATCTTGGTGTGGTCGTCTTTGGGTTCCTCTTGTTTGGAACTCTCTTTGCTTCCTGGGATTGTATGTCTATTTTCTTTGCCAAGATAGGGAAGGTTTCCATCATTATTTCTTCAATTAAGTTTGTAAATTCTTGCTCTCTCTCTTCTTCTTCTGGTACCCCTATGATGTGAATGTTCGTACACTTGATGTTGTCCCAGAGGTCCCTAAAACTATCCACATGGGTTTTTTTTAATTCATGTTTTTTTATGTTCTGATTGGGTGTTTTCTGCTACTTTATCATGAAAATCACTTGATTCAATCTTCTGCTTCATCTAATCTACTGTTGATTCCCTCTAATGAATTCTTCATTTCGGCTGTTGTATTCTTCATTTCTGACTGGTTCTTTTTTATATTTTCTATCTCTATTTTTATGTTTCCTACCTCTTTGTTGAAGTTCTCCCTAAGATCACTTATAAGCAGTGTTTTGAACTCTGCATCTAGCAGATTGCTTGTCTCCATTTTGTTTATTTTTCTGGAGCTTTGTTCTGTTCTTTCATTTGGGACATGTTTCTTTTCTCCTCATTTTGGCTGCCTCCCTGTGTTTGTTTCTATGTAGAGCTGCTACATCTCCCTGGTAGAGTGGCCTTAAAATAAATTAGGTGTCCTGTGGGGCCTAGAGGCACTGTCTCCCTGGTCACCTGGGCCAGGTGTTCCAGGTGTGTCCCTTGTGTGAGTTGTGTGTGCCCTTCTGTTGTAGTTGAGCCTTGATTGCTGTTCGCATGTCAGTGGGAGGGACTGACCCTCAGGCTAATTGGTTGTGAGGACTGGCTGTGACTACAGTGGAGGAGCTGTTGTGCAGGGGCTGACCCTACAGAGCAGAATTCAAGTTAGCAGGGCTCTGGTGCCTGCTGAGTCTGCCCTTTGGGTGTGTTATTTGTGAAGGTGGTTCAGTGGTGCTCTGGTGTGGTTTGAAGCTGGCCACTGGGTGTGTTGGTTATGGCACCTCTTCGGAGGGTATCTGGTGCAGGCCAAGGGCAGCTGCTTCCTGTGCCCTGCCAAGGGCCACTTGGTATAAGCTATAAAGTGACCTGCATATGGTCACCACTTGTGCTGGGCTTGGAGGTGCCTGAGAGAGGCTAAGCTGTGAACTGAGGCCAGTTTCTGTTAGTGCTGGGCTTGGGGTTGCTTACCAAGAGGTACTGGGCATGTCCAGGTCAGATGCTACTTGTTTGGGGTTTGTAAACCTTTGAAAGATTTTAGGAAAGTTTACAGCTTGAGCCAAGACAGGCTGTTTGTATGAAAAAGCCACTGAAAACACCTTGGGTGAGTCCACAAGTTGGGTGGAGTGGGATCTCAGGGAATCACCAGGGCAAGGTGAATGGTGTCAGCCAGGTTGATGAGACTCAGATACAGCGCTCATCTGTGCATGCAGGATTGGTGGGGAAAGGGATCAACAAAGGAACAATGACTTCTTCCAGCACTTCTGTTTAAGAGAAAGCTGGCCCTCCAGCCCTCATTCTGCAACCAGACAATTCATTTCCTCTCCATATGTCCCTGGCATTTTTCAAGCTGTTGTCCCAGTGCTGGAGCAAGTGAGTCCATCAGTGAATAACTTCATGCAAAGGCCCTTTAAGAGGAATGCTTGGGACTTCAGGAGCCCTTCATCTCACTCAGCCACAATCTTCTCTGGTTTTCACAGCTGGAAGTTATGGGGACTTCTCTTCTTGGTACTGGAATCCTGGGCTAAGCATCCTGTAGTGGGCCTGGGAGCCCTCACTCCTCAGGGGGGACTTCTGCAGCTGAGGCATCCCTCCTGATCTTTAACCATGACACACGGGTGTGGGATCAGCCCATTGCATGTCTCCATCACCCCTTCAGTCTCCTTGTGGCTTTGTCTGTATTTCCTTAGTTGTAGGACTTTTGTTCAGCTAGACTTCAAGCTGTTCTCAATGATGGTTGTTCTGCAGTTTAGTTGTAATTTTGATGTGGTCATGAGAGGACATAATTACAATGTGTATCTACTCCTCAATCTTGACCGGAAGCCTAAAATCCTTAGTTGGTCAGATTATCCTAGATATTGAAGGTGGGCCCAATATAATCACAAGAGTTATTATAAAAAGAAGACAGGAAAGTCAAAGTTAAAGAACAAGTGACAACGGAAGCAAGAAGTTGAAGAAATAGATGGGAACCATGAGTACAGGCATGTGGGCAGCCTCTAGAATTTGGAAAAACACGGAACAGATTTTTCAGAAAAAAATACAGCTCGGTTGACACTTTGATTTAGGAGAAGTATCATCAATTTGGGCTTCTGACCTCCAAAACTATAAAATAAAAAAGTTTCTGTTGTTCTAAGCCATTAAAATTTTAAAAGCTACATTAAGAAACTAATATAACATGGTTATGCTATGGGGAAAGAAATCCCAGGAACCAGAAATAATGTTTTACTTCTTATTTACGTGACATGTTCATTACGTGTTGGGAGCTCTGCACATCACTGTCACTGAAGTTTCCAGGCTGATGGAGCAGACACATCATAACATGTGGAGCTTTGTGCAAGAGGAAAAATGATCCACAGATGTTCTTGCAGTTAAAAGCATATCCCACAAAGTACATTCATCACCTCTGCTCGCAAATCATTCATCTGAAGAAGTCTCATCATCCCACCCAATTTGAAGGTCTAGAAGTGCAACACTCCATGAGGCCCAAAAGTGTACAGCCAGAAATATTTGGGGAAGCATGACACCTCCAAAGAGGGCCCAGCACTCACACCCACTCTCTGCCACATCACTGAACTTCTCTATGCCTTTTTTTTATATATATATATAAGGTCTCACATTAGAAGCTCATTGTGAGCGTACGTACAATGATACATCCAATGTGCTGAGCTCAAAGCCAACTCACGGTTTAGGCTTGGTCAATGAAAACTGTTGCTGATGAACACTTGACAAAACCTACACGATCACATAAGGATGAATAAATAACTGCTGTTTCCCTCCAGGAGTGGCAGGTGAGAAGGAGTTGCAGGTGATTCAGCCTGAGAGGTCAGTGTCAGTCGCAGCTGGAGAGACGGCCACTCTGAACTGCACCGTGACCTCACTACTCCCCGTGGGGTCTATACAGTGGTTCAGGCGGATGGGGAAAGGCCGGAAGCTAATCTACAGTTTCAAAGAAGGCCACTTTCCCCGAGTAACAAGTGTTTCAGGCACCACAAGGGGAAATACCATGGACTTCTCCATCCGCATCAGTAACATCACCCTAGCAGACTCTGGTATCTACCACTGTGTGACACTCTGGGAATGGCTCCCTGATGTGAACTTTAAATATGGACCAGGAATTCGGCTGATTGTGAGGGGTGAGTACAGTGTGGGCACCTTTCATACCCTTGTATGTGACAACATGTAAATCCACTGTTTTTTTTTTGAGCAACACCTAAGAATCAGGTGCCAAAGGGGGCGCTTAAATCCACGATCTGATTCATGGTCTGATTTCACCCTTTCTGCAGATCAGGGACACTGAGTTCTGGGGTGGTCGTGCTATTTGCTCAGGCCCCACGGCTGGCAAATGGTGGGAAAGTCTGGAACCCCCACCTGCCTGGCTCCACAGTCTGTGCCTTTTCTAATCCCATCCAGCCCCTTGGTTCCAGGGATGACGGAGCTGAGAGTCTGAGTGGCTTGCCCGTCACAGGGCAGA